GACTGTGATCTGGATGTTAGTCACTCCTATGGACTAGCTGAAGATTTCCTGTCCAATATTTCTGAAGGAATCTCTACAGCTGTAAAAGTGAGGACAGTGTTTGTTTGGAGGTCAAATTAAAGAATAATAGAACTTTCTCATAAGAGAAGGCTCCTGAGAGACCTTATAATCCTTTCAGTACCTGAAGAGGCCTACAGGATAGCTGGAGAGGGACTTTTTAGGAGGGCTTGTAGTAGTAAAACAAGGTGGAATGGCTTTAAACTGAAAGCCAGCAGGCTTAGATTGGATATTAGGAAGAATTTTTTTACTATGAGGGTGGTGAGACACTATAACAGGTTGCCCGAGAAGCTGTGGATACCACATCCCTGATGGTGTTCAAGGACAGGTAGGATGGGGCACTGAGCAACCTGCTCTAGTGGAAGGTGTCCCTGCCCATGGTAGAGGGGTTAGAAGTAGAAGAACTCTAAGGTCCCTTCCAATCCAAGCTATTCCATGATTCTGTGATAATTAAGACTAATCTTTTATGTGTAAACTGAATAATTTTCCTAGTGGAAACTATTAGGAGAAGGCAAATATGATCAAACAAGGTGCTTCTGGCCTTTTCCTTAATCTAACAAATTTATGCAGGAGGTGGAAGGTATATCATAGACGTGGTAAACTCTGTAAGCCCTTTGATACATTTCTTTTACATACAGATTCTAGAGAAAGCATGCATTGACCTGTATATTAAAAATCTGAGACAAGAAACTTGCATGATCATTAGTTATCCTGATACAGGATAACTTATACCACTCTGTGTTAAAGAGGCTGTAAACACCAGGAAGAACATAAGAGCCTAAAACTAGATGTATAACTCGTGCAAAGTGTAGCAGAGCAGTGTTACCTGAAGATCATAATGGAAAAGAGAAGTAACAAGGAAAATGAGCTCCTGTTCTCAAAGGTTTCAGGAACCATTTATCAATAGACTTTAGAAAAGTATTGCTCTAAGAACTCTGCATGGGCAGGCCAGCTTTTGCTAGGCTGTAAATATTAATTAGTCAGGGCTTAAAATATAGCTGATACAATAAAGCAGTAAGAATGATACTTGCTGTTAACTATAACACTAATAATTAATTTTAAAATAATTTTGTAAATGTTTTATCACTGTAAATCATGATTTTTAAGTAAATAAATTAATTTATCTTTTAGTATTGTCTAATGATAAAATCAGTGCTCTAGTGTGATATTTGCCAGGCCACAGCATTTCCCTGGGCATGAATATCTGTTTGCTGAAAGAAACCTGGTAGATTCCCAGGGTATTTACCATGTACTGAGAGATAGAACTTTCCAGTATTTTGGTTAATTCACCATTGAGCTCCAGGGACCCACCTGTAGCGGGATGAAACAAATTATCATTTCCTCTGAATGGCAGTTTAAGCCTCTGACAAATAACAAGATAGTGGACTCAGAGCTTGGAGTGTCCGGTGTGTCTCTGAAAGGTGAAGAGCTTTCCTGTAAGAGTGCCATATTCTGAAAAGCAAACTATTTCATAATCTTAAGATATCAAACAAGTGTAGTTGATTTACACAACTGAAGAGATAATAAGATGTTCAGTTTTTATTTCAGATTTATTTATTAGGAATTTTTCCTTCTTTAGCTGTTTATTTTTGGTTTATAGTTCCTAGCATGTCTAAGCCCCATATTTCTCTATCTAGACTAATTTTTGTTTTCACTACCATACTATAAATATATTATGATCAGACCTGTGTGAAATGAAGTCATTTTGATTCATAAGGTTTTCATGCAAACATTTTTCTCTGTTTCACTTCAAGGAGTTCATCCCTTGAATTTGTCTTTGAATTTCAACTTCAAAGGAACCTTAAACCGCAATCTGAAATTCAGTCAAAGCTGCAAAGCTTTGCCTTGTTTCAGGTCAAAAGCTCAGGAAAGTGTTGAATTACCTGACCAAAGCAAAATCAATTCACTGAAAAAAACCCTTCAGTAATACAGAATTATCTTGTTCCTTTAAGTTCTGCAAAACTCAAACTCATTACAACCAGCTATGGAGTTACAGTCCCCACTAACATAGTCTTGACTCCAACGTCTTCGAAAAATGCTATTATATCCACCACACATTGAGAAAAAAAACCACATATTTTACTGTGGAGTATAATATAATCTGTTCTGTAAAATAATCTTATTTTTAAGTAAAATGGTACTGAACAAGTGCTGTCTGCACTTAAACACTTTCCTGCTCTGTAGAATCATGATATCCGCTATATTTTTCTTACAATCTGCAATGCTGTTTAAAATTGCTTTCAGCTATTTTTATACCACATGCCAGTCATCATTCCAAGTTGCCTCCTCCCCCAGCATGTCTTTTGTACTGCTATAGCCACAAACCTCAAAACTCAAAAGCAAAAGGCAGCACACCAGGCATGTCCAAGTATACACACATACTGCACAAGTAGGAAAGGACAGTAGGGTCAGCACCATCCTAGCAGAGCTGAGGTCCCAGACCTCAGGACAGTATAACCTCTGGCAAGCTTTAACAAATCCCCTCCTTATTTGTAGCTGTATCTAACGCTGGAACATGCTGTTATAAATACTGATAGCTATTGCCTGCTCAATAAGGGAAGAGTTAAGGTTGTCTCAGTCTATATCTTGACGCTCAAATTTTTGTATTTCACTCATTTTTGTGCCATTAACTTCTATACTCTAGAAAGGCATAAGATTTCACACATTGTGACAGGACATCTATCAAGCGAATAACTTTCGGCTCAACCTTCTTTTGTAAGAAAGAAGACTTCTAAAGTACAGCAATATATGGTAAAAACTACGATTATGTTCTTTAAACACAAAAATGTAATAAAACTAAAGCTTACACATCCAAGTTAGAAACTTTGCCTGAATTTAAAAAGTAAAAGTTCTTGAACAATGTGTCTTCAAATGACCTGGACAGAGTATGTAATCCCATACACTTTATCTATTCCATAGCGAAAGCACAATACACTCCAAATCCCTCTTTTGATATTGCAGTTCAGCAATGCCTTTTACTTGCCTTATTGCATTGTTTTATCCATAAAAGGCAGGTGAAAATCCTATTAAATGAAATGTCACATCTCCTTGGGTTATTATTTCGTTCCTTTGTAATAAATGGGATTTCAGAAAAGTGATGTCATCCGCTTGTCCTTGTTACTTCCCTTTGGAACTCAAGAAGAAAGCTTAACTATGTTTAATTGTGTCTTAACAGCTTGTCTGCACACCCACAAAGGAGCACAGACAGACAATGGCAGGAGGCTGAGCCCCAAAAAAACCCCTGCTGTGCCATCCAACATCCAGGCATCAGGAACTGAGGAGTCTGGAGTCCAGGGCCAGCCACTGGGCTGAGTGCCTGAGCTGAGCTGGTGGAGGGATCCACTCTGCATGAATATGGATGTTCACTGTTCTGTGGACATGCGACCCGCTCAGCCAGAGAAGTGAGCAGGATGAGGCCATTGGTGCCATGTTAATGTGTGTGCTCTGTCTGTGATCTGATCAGCCAGTTGTACATATATATTCATATACATATATTCAGTGTACATGGGCTCTGTTGGGTGCATGCTTACCGGGAATACTTTTACAGCCTTGCTACTGGTTGCACCTGGGGGAATGCAGCTGCAGCAGTCCAACACAGTACATTTTCCTCTTAAAGATAACACTTATTTTAAGAGGCTCACTAGAGAAAATAAACTCAACTGAGCTTCCATCCCTGCATTTCTGCAGTAAAGTAACTTAGCCTATCACATATGTAGGAATTTTCACTGAATTTTCACTGAAATATTGAATACTGTAATTCCTGAATTTTCTGTCCAAAGATTAGATGAAGCCACACCATCACTGTGCACATTCTTTCTTGGTGGAAAAAAGGCTGCCATGAAATCACTCCTCCAAGCATTGATATCTTAAATATTTCTCTTTAATTAACATTCTTTTGCCATTTAGCCCTTTCAGTTTTACCATTTCAGTAGCAAGATCACAGAGAACTTTGCCATCAAATGTGTATATATATATAAATAGTTATTTTATATATACATATATATAAAAATACATCCCCTCTTACATTTATATAATTTTTATCCATGGAATAGGTTTTGTTGCAATCCAGACAACTGTGAATAATCAAAGTTTTCTCATTGGTTTGATTTTTTTGATTAAAAATGAAACAACTCCACAATTTTCTTTTTAGAATTTTACACAGCTGTAGTTAAGGTAAATAAAAAATAATATAAATTTGTATCTCTACAAATCCTGGCTTCAATTTCAGCTTTTCACCTGTTCAAAAGCGTTTTTTCTCTCTTGTCAATATTAGGAGATTATTTGCAAAAAAAAGAAGTGATGACAGTAAGGACTGGATATGTTTTCTCTATCTTCTAGGTATTTTAAAATACATTTGCAGATGAAAATCCCAGTTTTTAGCATATGAGAGAAGGAACAGAAGATACATGCATTGTTCGGTACCGATTAAAAGAGCAACCTTAAAAAGAGTACCTTTCTTCTTTCTGTGCTTTAATAGTGTAGAGCATGTGAGGCTCATAGAAAATATTCTTATTTGAGAAACCCATAAACAGAGAGCAAGTAATTAAATTTTAAAATGGTTGATAATCAGTGTATAAACACACTCTGGGATCAGCAACCCAAACAAGTATCTGTAGCAGCAGTCAGCAGCTCTCCCCAGTAGCTTAGGGCAGATTCACTGCGTCCATTTGAAGCTCTACCTCATGTGCAATTGCTGAGAAAGTGTTTGCTCAATACACCCAACTAACACATCTGTAGTGCTTTGGTCCCTTGTGTGGTGCAGCACAGTGCTATATAAACACATCCTTATGCAGACAAACTGGAGTATGATTAAACCAACACCTCCTTTCAAAAAAGGTTTGAGGATCTTTAACAACCAGAAAAGAAGACTTTGGCTTTTTATCTCAACTAAAACACGTGTCTTCCCTCCTCCACTGACATTTTGAAACTGCAAGATGGCTTACAGTTATGACAAGTGGCACCACTGTATCCAGTTCCATCGCAAGTGCACTTGAAGCTGTCCCACGTCTGGGTGCATTTTCCACCATGTTCGCAGTGATTGGGCACACACCTGTCAGGAGGAGATGCAAAGACAGAAAGAAAAATCAAAATGAGCATCAAGATTTACATAAAGCTAAATTTTGAGCTGCACAAGCAGAATATCATGCCCTTGCCTGGTAATTAATCCTTGTTATTTTAGGCAGATTAACAGAATTTATATCTGAACACATGACTGGCATAAAATATCATCAAGGCTTTGCTGCAGCTCTTTTACAAACAGTAAAAAAACACAATAAAGGTGGAATAGAGCCTCCTATCATAAATCAGGGTTCTAAGTTACATATGACTGGTACTGAGCTGTCAAAACAAAAAGCACATCACAAGTCACATCTCCTCCTGCTGTGCAGGTGGTGTCACACCTCGAGGAGTCCAGTCCCACAGTTGACTGAAAGTTAAAAACAAAATGCCACTGAGTTGCTATTTATCTTTCTGTTGTCATCAACAGGGTAAAGGGGAGGGAGGTTGCCTGCTGGCTAGGATGGAAGGAAATTAGTAATGCTGCATTATTAAAACAAGCAATGGGCTTCACTATAAAAGCTGTGTAAGTTTTTCCTTCTCAGGGATTTGTGGCAAGTATTCTTCACCTTTCTCTCACACACTTGCTTTTCTTCTCCAGCTACACTCTTACTGGAGAGTTGAAGGAATGCAAAAGAAAAAGTGGAACAGCAAAAAGTCAAAGTTATAGCAGAACATATATTTATTGGTTGAAATATTATCACAATGTGATTTTAAAGATTTGACTTTGGTCAGGTTCTTTTTTAACAAATGTAGTCAAAAATGGGAACTATCATGTACTTTAACCTCTGAAACTATTAAATTTCTTTTCTTTGAAAGGGCTTTGAAATACCATTTCAAAGAATTTTTTTTTCTTATTAACTTTATTGCAATCAGACTCAGTACGGGCTCTGCATTTTTGATCAAGAACTAAAGGAGCTTTTCTTTCATTTTCATTTGGCCAAATCTACATTTTTTTTATTATAACATTAAAAAATCAAAACTAGGAGACTCACTATTAGAAAAACAAAATACTTTCAGAAATGCATTAAAAATTAAATATCCTTGTCTCTAAGATAAATCTGAAGTTCATTGTATTCCTGAGATAGTTAACAATACTTCCATAAACACCTCCCAAGGAAATCTTTGCTTTCCTATGTAGAAATTTATTGAAACTGGAAGTGTCTGTGCCATCCCCCTACAAACTTATGGTCTCCTATTTCCACAAGTTCCAATTAACAGCTGCAAAATGTCAATATATATATTTTATATATATATATATATATACATAATATATGCCAAGAATAACTTTTGTCACAATATGCGTTAGAGATTTGAACATTGTGTACTCACATGTAGAAACTATTTTTTGTTTTATGCATGCCAGTACAAGTACCTCAGAATATATACAGTATAGCTGTCTTATATCCTATATCAGCCTTTATTATTCAAGGTTACCCATTCTTTTTCAAAGATCAGAAAATACTGGTTTGTTTAAAAATAGCTCTTAAATAAATGCTCTTCTAAAACAAAACCCAAAACATTTAAAAGTTTTCTTTTCACAGTAAAATACAGTGAAACCACCTGAGGCAATTATCACAGTTCAATAAATTATGTTTTGAACATGGTTTAAATGAATTCATTTAGTTTTGTAAGTGTGGTAGGCTAAATGAATAGATAGAGCTGATTACTGCTATTCAGTTATGTTCTCAACACCGCAGAAGAAAAACAAGGGCATATAATAGCACATTTCTAAACATTCAAACAATTAACAATTTACATGAATCCATAGCTGGTGGGTAAAAAAGTAAGGAAAGCTAAGAGCAATGACATTTCAAAAATAATCTCATAAAAGTAACTTCTATTCAGGGATATAAATAACTACAAAAGTTCTTAAATCTGAATATGGTTTTGTATTTTTCCCAGCCTTTCAGAATAACTCGCTTTTATGTATTTTCTACTTCATTTACATTGAACGCACATTACTTGAAAAGTAATTTTTCAATGACCAAACCAAACATTTTCCTATACCAATTTCACCAGCTATTTATATGAAGTCTCACACATAATGCTAGCAACTAGTTTCATATTTTAGTGCAGTATAGCTTATTTTTATTGCAGCATAGCTAGTAAAGATACCACATTATTGACTGTATAACTGGGGTAAATGACTTTACCTTCAGAAAAATGAAAAACAGATATTTATCTGTATCATTTAATGGAGCGTATTAAGTCATAAAACCAGATATATTCAGCAAACTCCTTGATGTTAATTTTATGTTTCCACTATGATGGTTGGACTAGTGTAGTCTGCATCTGCAAAATTTCTTTTTTACTCATCTAATTTTTCCTGTTCTAAAGATAATGTAGGTAGAAAAAGGGAGTAAACAATATCTTTATATTAGTGCATACTGAAGTTTATGTCAGACTATAAGACCGTATCCCAAAGTTCTCTCTCCGCCCTCACTATTCTGTTAGTTTATTTTATCAGATAGAATTATAAGATTTATTTTCTATTAAATCCATGAGAAAACTTCTGCAACATAATCTGATGCTCATCTGTCCACTTTTTGGACAGATCTTACCTGCTATAATAGAGTTTACAGGAAATACTAAGTATCCAGAATGTAGATATTACAAAAAAAACCCTCTTTGAATTCAGTAGATGTATCATGAGGAATACGGTTTATCATTGCAAACTCCATTATTTTTCAAACACTTTTCTTTCCATAGAATGAGAGTAATATAAAAATGTCCATATACATCTTGCTAGAGAAATTTGCATTTTTAAGCAGATGTAATGATATAGTTTATTTACCTTACATTTATCATTTAGTATAGACTCAAAATGCGTACACTCAGAATCAACAATTTGCAGTTCTTTCGTATTAAAAGACTATGTTTCTAGCTAATCAAATTCTTTAGTCTCCTTTATAAATGAGGCTGCATTACATAAAAAGCAATACAAAACACAACAAAACAAAACAAGCCTTCAAAATGGCACTTCCCTCCAGAAGCAGGTTTTGAAGTTAGAAATCATCACAAAACAGAACTGGAAGTAAGTTCCTCATCATTGAGTTCTGTGTCTTCCCATTGAGTACACCTACATTTTAAGAACTGCTTCTTACAAAATGTTACTGATTCCATTTTGAGAACTTTCTTGTTCTGTGACTCCTTCTGAAAGGAAAGTCTAGAACTTAGTCCTTTCAACACTTTCTTTTAATTTCCATCCAAAATTTATGCATAGAGAGGTTACAGATGCTGTTTTGTTTGGTTTTGTTTGGTAATTTTTTGGTAAGACTGATTTGTGTCTCAAACAACTTTTGTTTTCCTTTGGGATTTATGTCTGAATACTTTGCAGAGAGCAATCAAAACTTTTCTTAGTTTGTATTTTTGTGAGAACAAGTCTTCCTGTTGGAAAAGAGATTTTCTGTGGTTCTTCCTCATAGCCCTGCTCCCGCTTGCACTTGCATTCTCCTCAGTATTCTAGAGGAGGTTTTAGCAATGTTTTGTGATTTCAGAGTTGATCAACATTTTTGTATTTCTCTACTGAAATTATTTTGCTTAATATATAGCATTTTGCTGACTGCCAAAAAATAGCAGCTCAAAGTCATCCTGAGAATGCTCAATGCACTAAACACTTTCAGTACATTCCCACTCATCTTCTTTTTGTCACTTCCAACCAATGACCTCCATCTTTATATGGAAATCCTGTATCACTCTGTACTGTAACTTCCACTGTGTCATCCAAATATTTCTGCTTATTTTTCTAGGCTGAATCTTTATCATTAGCACATTTCACCAAAATATTCCTAATTTTTAGCCAAGGTTGAAGCATTAAATAGGATCATCTCTGGCACTGATCTCTGAGCAACTCACATCTCTCAGCCAGCCTCTAGCCCATCAGTATAAATTGAGAGGCAACTCCATTTGACAGTTCACAACTCACTTTGGAATTCTTCTCTTAAACCCTGTCTTTCCTGGTTTAGCTAATAACTTCCATCATTACACTATATCAAATGTTTTATTGACATCTGACAAACTAGATCTATTGCACTTCTCCTGTCTGAGGAAAAAAATACTGTGCTTTATCAGAGAAGGAGATCAGGTTAATCCTGAAGTATTGACTGTTGATAAACATCTGCTGCATTCTACTCTACCTTGCATTTACTTCAAGAAAGATAATTATTTCCTTATTCTCTTCAAAAGAATAGTAAGACTACTGAAGGCAGATTAATAGGAGCCTGGTGTTCTGGATCTCTCTTTTTCCATTTGTTAAATTACATTAAGTTAATTCTGTCACATAATAATACAAAGCCATGAGCTTTTTTTTATTTGCTTAGGGTTTTTTGTTGTTTGTTTGTTCCATCTGTGGTACAATCATCCTAAGTGAACCTGACAGACTATTTCCAGCAAGAAAGAAAAAAAAAAAGAAAAGAGAAAAAGAAGAAAGAAAAAGAAGATGAAAGAAGAGAGAAGAAAGAGAAGAAAGAGAAAAGAGATTTCATAGTGTCACTATAAGCAGGAGAGTGATATGAAAGACCAATGAAGAAATCTTTACAACTTATTCAGCAGAAATGAGTAATGGCTGATTTTCAATTGCACAAAAAGTTGTTGGAAACAGGAAGGTTAGAAATTTCCACAGGGAAAGGGCAAAGATGCAATGAGGTTCATTATTGGTTAAAAAGTATTTTCAGAATATACATCAGGAATGCCTTAAGTATGTTTGTTTCTGCCTGAAGGCAGGAGAATAACCTCTGAGGTCTAGTCCAGATGCTTTTCTGATCCAGATATTTTCATATTCCATAAAAACCAAAAAGTATTTCTTTCAATCTCTTATTTCTCATTCTGTGACAAGATGCATATTTTCTTATATAGCACAGTTGTGACTGTGCTATTTAACCTCTGTAAGTCAATAGGTTTTGGTCACTACCTCAATCTTTTCAGAGGACTATATACCTTAGGGCATGGATATTTAATATATTAACTAGTTTCCTGAGACATATTGTGCCAAAA